TCCCAGCTGATCAGGAGGAAATGGGGATTTTGCAGTAACCTTCCCCCAGGAGTGGGGAAGGAATGGGGATTTTGCAATATCCTTCCCACAGGAGTGGGTTGGGAATGGAGATTTTACAGTATCCTTCCCGTGGAGTGGAGAGGGAAGGGAGATTTTGCAGTATCCTTCCCCTGGAGTGGGTAGGGAATGGGGATTTTGCAATATCCTTCCCCTGGAGTGGGCAGGGAATGGGGATTTTGCAATATCCTTCCCCCAGGAGTGGGTTGGGAATGGAGATTTTACAGTATCCTTCCCGTGGAGTGGAGAGGGAAGGGAGATTTTGCAGTATCCTTCCCCTGGAGTGGGTAGGGAATGGGGATTTTGCAATATCCTTTCCCCCAGGAGTGGGGTGGGAATGGAGATTTTACAGTATCCTTCCCGTGGAGTGGAGAGGGAAGGGAGATTTTGCAGTATCCTTCTCCTGGAGTGGGGTGGGAATGGAGATTTTACAGTATCCTTCCCGTGGAGTGGAGAGGAAAGGGAGATTTTACAGTTTCCTTTCCCTGGAGCGGGAAGGGAATGGGGATTTTACAGTATCCTTCCCGTGGAGTGGTGAGGGAATGGAGATTTTACAGTATCCTTCCCCTGCCCTTCCTACCAAGCCACACCCACAGAACCAGTAGTAAAAAAAATTGAATTCCACCCCTGGCTGTACTGCTTCCCTTCTCTGGATACCCATGAATGACCAATATGTATTTTGATATCTCTCCCACACCCCTATCCTCCCACACATTGCTAATACCACGCTTTGCCTCTTTCAGGCATGACACCCCAACACAACCCCCCTGTTCAGCCTGGAGACGAGCTGCTGCAGGTGCATACCTATCTGATGCAAGGACACACCCGCTTCGAAGCTTGGAATATCATCCGAACCTTACCGGATGGGTTTATCACTGCCATCATCAGGAGGAAAAATTCAGGGGCTGGAACGGCTCCCTCTCTTCATGGGGAGGAGTAGTGGCCACGATGGTCGCAACGCTCAAAGAGATTTGGAACTGCGATGACCCAAACTAGGGACTCATCCCTTGCCCCTATCAGCTACTCTGCAGCTGATTTAACGGCCTGTGCTCCTTGCTCGCAAAGGGAACGCCAAGAAAGGTGGAGACGAGGAGGCCAGTGTAAACAGCTCACTTGTTTGTGTTTGCAGTATCACTCAAAGTTCCCGTGGGGAGCTGTGCCTGAATTAATCAAGGAATTTGCCGAAAGCGAAAAGGCAGAACCCTGAAAGAAGATTTGATGGCAGAGGAGATAGCGGGATTAATGAATTGGCCCTTGATTTCCTAATGAGCATCAAAGCAAACACGGGAGCCCAGCGCATGGAGATCCATTTCAGGACCCATGCTTTCCTGGCGGGTGTATCTTGGTCGTCAGGACTTTGTTCACTGTTCCTGGGATTACAAGTGTGTAAAAGTGTGCGTACATTTCCATCACTGGGGAAGCCACTCCCTCTCACTTTGAACTGACTGTAGATTGTCCATTGCTGGATCAGGAAAGCCTGATTTAAAGGCTGATTTAAACCACATTTTTACCTGTTCCTCCAATAAAGTATTGTTCTTTTAACCATGTTACATTTACTTAGAATTATCTCTCTCCCTAGCACCAAAGAGCCGCAAACTTCAATCCAAAAAGAGACAAGACCAAGAATGACTTCAGAGCACCCCGTTTTTTTTTAATTTCTAATGTATAAAAGCACATCAGAACAACGTATTATGGTTTAGAAAATATTATTGCCTGAGATCAGTGATCATTTGAGGCAGTTAGGGAGAATTTATGAAGGCCGAATCCTGGAGCAGACATGTTTCCTTCTCTCTAAGCAGGATCTTCAGTTCAAAACTGGCAGATGTCTGTCTCGGTTTCTTGTTAAACATCGTCTCTGACAACCTGTTCCGTAATCAACCAAAATTTATCACAACCACATTTTTCCTCGTGCTCAAGAGCTTCGAATGCTTGAATGCACAAACATCTCTCTTCCTACTGGAAGGCTTGTAAGTCAGGATTGTTCCCCCCTGCCATGCAGGCGTAATGCAGGCAGGTATTTGTGATTTAGATGATGTGGGAGGAGAACATTTGAAAAACAAATGTGGTTTCTTCAGAGTCCTTTTTTTTTAATTACTTCGACAGGAAATGCCTTATTGGCTCAAAACAACCAGACCACATGAAAGGAACTCTTGATAGGTACCTGGGTGGAGATGTAAATTCAGGAGCTCAAAGTGATGTTGTCATCATTGCGAAAGATAAAGCAGCGAATGGAGTTTGGCAAACATGCAACATCAAATCTTCTTACTTGTTTTTCTGATTTACAGAGGAACGAAGCCAGAACAGCGAATTATGGTCCAATTCTTTCCTCTTGAGGTGTGGTTACGTTTGAAGGCTTATCTTGCAAAGCGAAACCCAGAGGCGTTCATTTCTTTTCAGAGTCCCGAGCAAGGTCAGACTACAGTAGTGTGAATAAAGTGCTATTTAATTCTAGACCTGGGCTCACGAGCTCCCTGTCTAAATTAAGGAGGAATTTGTGCGCATCCTTTCGATCAGATCCCAGTTCTGAATTCAGCCTCAGGAACTGCTTGTGCAGGGTGGAATGCTACAGGTTCCCCTGAACCGGTAGTAAAAATAAAATGCTACCAATTCGGGCGAACTGGTATTTCCAACGATCAGCTGTGCCACGCGATTTATATTAGCTAGAAAGCAGGATTCGCTTTCTAGCTAATCTATTTTTCGTGGCACAGCTGATCGTTGGAAATACCAGTTNGAACACGCTTGCAAGTTCTCGAGGCGAAGGCGAAATTAAATAAAGAGCAAACTAAATATTTGTCTCTACGCGACTTTTTTTCTTAGTGACAATCAGCGTCCTCCGGTTTAATGAATCTGTTGATCTAACTCCAGAGATGGCCAGAAAGTCAGGGCTTCCCTATTTCATTACTGTCAAGTAATAATTCAGGGTTGTTTTTTTAAATTTGCTGACACACGATAAACAAAATCTTGCTAGTCTTAACATTTACTGCTTTTTGGGAGAACAGCCAGCTGGTATGGTGGCAGGGGTGTCAAACTCAAGGCCTACGGGCCAGAAGCGGGCCAGCGGGCCAGCCTGGAAATAGCATAGGATCGGCACTCAGTGCCTCTGGCAGCTAAAACGTTTTCCACCTGGATGGCCTCCTGCAACATTTTGCTGGCCAAAACGGGGCACGTTCCCCCCCCTGCTTCATTTTGGTCCGCAGATTGCTGGAGGTTGTGCAGGCCGAAAATGGGGCACAGGGGGTGCCACACGAACCCCCACGTACCTTGTTTTGGCTGGCAAAGGGTTGCAGGAAGCCCTCTGGCCAAAAACGTGCCACGAGGGGCCCACACATGCCCACCCTGGGCCCCATTGTGACCAGCAGGGTGCTACAGGAGGCTGTCCAGACCAAAAATGGGACGGGGGGGGGCACACGAGACCCTACACAAATGGTTTTGGCTGGCAAAGTGTTGCAGAAGGCCATCCAGGCCAAAAGTGTGCTGCGGGGGGACCACACGTACCCCCCATGCCCCCGTTTTGGCTGGCAGGTGCTGCAGGAGACTGTCGAAGCTGAAAACGGGACACAGCGGGGCACACGAGGCCTCCTGTACCCCATTTTGACTGGCAAAGTGTTGCAGGAGGCCATCCAGGCCAAAAACGTGCTGTGGGGGGACCACACGTGCCTCCCCCGTGCCCCGTTTTGGCTGGCATGGTGCTGCAGGAAGCTGTCCAGGCTGAAAACGGGGCACAGGGGACACGCACAAGGTCCCATGCACCCTGTTTTGGCTGGCAGGGTGCTGCAGAAGGCGTCCAACCCCTCTCCCCCCTGCCCCAGCCCAACCCGCAGAGAAGAACTATAATGCTGATCTGGGCCTTGAAGAAATCCAGTTTGACACCCCTGGTCTAGTGGTTAAAGTATCGGGCTAGAACAGCAATGGTGAACCTTTTTTGGCTCACATGCCATAAGTGGGGGGAGCGCAGGAGGGTCACGCGCGGGCGTGCCGCACCCATAATGCAATGCGCAACCCCCCCCAGCGTGCATGTGTGCCTGACAGGTGTGACCCCCCCCCCATTTATTGCATGCTTTTTTCACCCTCCCCAGGCTCCAGAGGCTTTATAGGACCTGGGATGGGTGAAAACAGCCTTCCCCGGCTCCCCGGAGGCGCTCCGGAGGCTTCAGGAACTTCCCTGAATCCTCCGGAGGGTGAAAAACGACCTACAAGCAAACCGGAAGTCACTTCCGGTTTGCTTGTAGGGCCGATTTTAGCCCTCCGGAGTGTTCAGGAGCCCTCAGGAGGCTTCCCTGAAGGCTCCAGAGAACTAAAAAACGCCCTACGAGCAAACCGGAAGTCACTTCCGGTTTGCTCGTAGGGTCGTTCTTTGTCCTCCGGAGGCTTCGGGGAAGCTCCTGAAGCCTCCGGAGGGCGTCCAAGGGGTTCGGGGGGCAGCTGTTTTCACCCTCCCAAGGTCCTATAAAGCCTCTGGAGCCTGGGGAGGGCAAAAATGGATTTTAAAAAGGCTGAAGTCAGCTTGGCAGCACGCCTCGTGTGCCCTGACAAATGGCTCCGCATGCCACCTGTGGCTCCGCGTGCCAGAGGTTCGCCATCCCGGGGCTAGAAAGTGGGAGATGGTGAGTTCAAGTCCAACCATAGCCATGAAATCTAAATGGGTCTGTCTCCCTTCCTCCCTCCCTCCCTCCCTCCCTCTCTCTCTCTCTCTCTAAATAAATGTTATTTAATTTATTATTAAATAAGAAGTTATTAATAAATAATTAACAGAAATGAATAAAGGCGGGATAAGAATAAAGAGCAGACATACCAGGCAGTCTGTGACTTACAACCTTCCTGTTGCTAAAGGGAAACGTTTGTTAAGTGGCATTTGCCCCGTTTTACCACCTTCAGTTGCCGCAGTTGATAAGGGGCTCACTACAGTTGCTGAGTTATTAACACGGTCGCTAAGTGAATCTGGCCTCCCTATTGATTGTCAGAAGATCACAGAAGGGGGGGCGGTGTCACAGGACCTCTGCAATTGCATTTGTCATTTATAAATTATTATTTTTCCTGCAGATTTCTTGCCAAAGATATTTATCACTGTACGTTATAAATATTGTTTCTGTTTATTAAAGCAATGTCTTCCCTGCTTTGGGATTAACCATAGTTGGGCATGCTTTGTATATTTTTGCAGAAAAATTAATACAGACTTGTAATCTTTCAGTGACATCTCTAAGTAAGAGACTCTTAAAGTGGAACTGAGTCACACTAATCATTCAAAGGGCAGGAGTTGAATTTATATTATAAGACAGAGAAGACACACTGAATAACAGAATGAGAGACTTGGAAGGGACCTTGGAGGTCTTCTAGTCCAACCCACTGCTCAGGCAGGAGACCCTATGCGATTTCAGACAAACAATCTCTTCTTAAAAACCTCCAGCGATGGAGCAACCACAACTTCTGGTGGCAAGTCGTTCCACGGGTTAATTCTTCTGTCAGCAAATTTCTCACCTTAAAGACGAGCCAGCTGCCAAGAGAGCTAACATAATCCTTGGTTGTATTAAGCGGTAAAACCGCAGCAGTCCGTACAGACTATTGCTTTTCAACGTAAATACGGTATTTTATCTCTGGATATTACCTAGGCACCAGCGTTAAAGTTCCGTTTGAAATGTCCGTGTGAGATAAATCCAAGTGAAGGAGAGCCGAACAGCTTTCTGCCATAAGTCTGATTAACTTATCCTGTTCGGGAAGAAAAGCCAGATTTGGTTTTATTTTTCAAAGTGGGATACAAACACTCCATATCAATTATAGCAATAGCCGTTAGCAATAGCAGTTAGACTTATATACCGTTTCATAGGGCTTTCAGCCCCCTCTAAGCGGTTTACAGAGTCAGCGTATCGCCCCCACAGTTTGGGTCCTCATTTCACCCACCTCGGAAAGATGGAAGGCTGAGTCAACCTTGAGCCGGTGAGATTAGAACCGCTGAACTGCAGATAACAGTCAGCTGAAGTGGCCTGCAGTACTGCACCCTAACCACTGCGCCACCTCGGGTTCAAAAATTTTAGCAGCCTGTTCTCTGCCCGGTAGCTGAGTGAGCGTGGCCATGGTGGGTGTGGCCTACTTGGCCTTCTGCACCACGGGGAGGGGGGGCTTCACCCTCCCCAGGCTCCGGAGGTTTTCCTTGAGCCCCCGGAAGGGCAAAAATGGCCTCCCCTGGGCCCCGGAGGGCCTTTGGAGGCTGGGAACAAGCCTGTTTTTCGCCCTCTCAGAGCCTCTGCATGGGCCCTGCGCTTACCTGGCATCCAAAACAGGCCGTGTGGAGACTCTGGGAAAGGGATGGGAGGGGTGGACGTGGCCAGCCAGTCCCTTGCAACTACCGGTTCGGCGAACCAGATGTAAAATTAGCATCCAGTTCACCTGAATCGGTCCGAACCGGCTGAATCCCACTTCTGGATCCAACACTTTAATCCTAAGAAATATGTTAACACACACACACTCACTACTACTACATTTTGAATTAGAATCAGAATAGAGCTGGAAGGGACCTTGGAGGTCTTCTAGTCTAGCCCCCTGCTCAAGAAGGAGATCTTATACCATTTCAGACAAGGGGCGGTCCAGGCTCTAGGCCTTGAATCATCTTAGTTGCTCTTCTTTGCACTGTTTCCAAAGTCTCTACGTCTTTTTTGTGATGTGGTGATCAAAACTGGATGCAGTATTCCAGGTGTGGTTTTACTAAGGCTTTACAAAGTGCTAGTAGTGCTTCATGTGAGTTTGACTCTGTGCCTCTTGTTGATACAGCCAAGGATTGTATTAGCTTTTTTGGCTGCTGCCTCACACCCCCGGCTCATGTTTAAGCGGAGAAATTTGCTGGCAGAAGAATTAATCAGTCGAACACCTCTAAGACTTACGACCGTTTTTCACACTTACGACCACTGCATCATCCCCATGATCAAAATTCAGATGCTTGGCAACTGAGTCACATTTATGATGGTGGCAGTGCCCCAGGGTCACACATTCCGCTTTTGCGACTTTCTGACGAGCTAAGTCAATGTGGAAGTCAGATTCACTTAACAACTATGTGACTAACTTAACAGCTGCAGTGATTCGCTTAACAACTCTGGCAAGAAAGGTCATAAAATGGGACACAATTCACTTAATAAATGTATTTCATTTCGTAAGCCGAGGACTACCTGTTATATGTATAAAAACGATTGTTCCTGTCTATCTATTGTATCACAGTTCTCTTGATTAGTGTATATGAGCTGAGGTGGCGCAGTGGTTAGAGTGCAGCACTGCAGGCTACTTCAGCTGACTGCAGTTCTGCAGTTCGGCTGTTCAAATCTCNCGACCGTTTCCTACACTTATGACCATTGAAGCATTACCATAGTTCTGTCATTTGCATTCATATACCTGTAGACCTCCACTGCGTCACCACAACTGAATCCAACGGTTTGGTTGCTAAGTGAGACAGTTGAAGGGGAGTGAGCTTTGCCCGAATTTTACGACCTTTCCTGCCATCGCTGTTAAGTGAATCGCTGCACTTTCCTCAGTTACAAACACGGCTGTTAAGTGAATCAGGTTTCCCCATTGACTTTGCTTGTCAGAATGTGGCAGAAGGGGATCGCGTGAGCCTGGGGCACCGCCACCGTCGTAAATGTGAGTCAAGTTGTCAAGCATTCAAATTCTGATCATGTGACCACAGGGATGCTGCAATGGTCATAAGTGTGAAAAATTGTCATAAGTCAGTTTTTTTCAGTGCCGTTGTAACTTTAAATAGCTTATTTTATTTATTGCTATGGGTAGCAAGTAAACATTGAATTTACTTGACTTTGTCAATACATCAATGCAGTTTTTACTGGCAACAGTGGCAAATGATTTCCCCCCCCCATTGCCTATTTTTGGGGGAATGTTGCCCCGTCAAACTGACATCCCTGGGATTTCCTGGTGGTCTCCCATCCAGCAATAAAATATAACCTAGCTATGAAGTTTCAAAAAGATGCCCTAATTTAATTCCCATGACTATTATCAAGTTGACACTAGCCATGGAATAAACCGGGAGCGGGGATTTCTTGAAAGAAGCTCTATTCCTGAAGCTAAGCAGTAAACAGTAACAGAGTTGGAAGGGACCTTGGAGGTCATCTAGTCCAACCCCCTGCTCACGCAGTAGTACAAAACCCCCCCTTTGCCCAATGTGGGATCCACCCAGCCATGAGGTGACCACTCTCTTCACCTCCTGCACCTCAAAAATAATAGGACCTCCCCAAAATTAAGGCATAGTGCTTATTTCGGGGGTCAAAAGAAAAGAAGACCCTGTCTTATTTTGGGGAAAACATGAGATAGATAGATGGATGGATGGATGGATGGATGGATGGATGGATGGATGATAGATAGATAGATTAGATTAGATATAGAGAAAGATAGATATAGAGAAAGAAAGAAAGAAAGAAAGAAAGAAAGATAGATAGATAGATG